CACCTAGTAGCGATTGCCTCCAACCTAATAGCGATGGCCTCCCACCTGGTAGCCATGGCCTCCCACGAAAAGAATCCTGCAAACCAGGAAACAAGATCAATCAAGGTTACAAGGCCAGAAGGTAACGAATTGTGAGGAACGGAAGCGCTGCAAACAATTCATTGCTTGGGGAGCCCAGATTCTGTGCCCAATGTTGGCTCAGCTTCAGCCTTTGCTAATTTCTTTGTTCATGTGTGTCCTGAGACTGCGCAAAGACTGTCCTGATGTGGCAGTTTTGAGAAACGAGATTTGGATGAGCAAGCATCAGATCCGGATCTGGATGAGCAAGCATCACAGTGACAATCAGTTTTGCTAGGACTGGTTGCTGGCGCAGCGCCGTGGTTCTGTGACGGTGTCAGATGTACAAGGCAGTGTCTGAGGTTTTACGTTCACGTTTTGATGTGATGGAAAGCTCGACTTTAGTGAATCACGCCACCGAAATCCGAATCATCCGCCACAATGGTGTCAGAACAATATTTCACATACCGACCCTTGAATCATGCTCTGAATCATACTGCCTAAACTTCCCTGCGGGGAATCGGCCGGCCCTCTTTTTCAAAGAACAATTGCAAATTCACCGTGCAGGCCAGTGTTTTGTGAGATGGTACTTTTTACATATGTTCTTTCACTTATGATGTCGAAGTGCTCAAAACCTAAGTTTTGACTCCAAAACTTCTACTATGTTGCTTTGGGGGTGTTGGCGACGCGTACTTTGTTTGCCCTGCCCGTTTTGAGTAAGTTCCGATTCTTTTGCACATATTGCCATTGGAATTGCCGAGCCTAGTGGTTGAGTTTCAGCGAGAGAAGCAGCGAGAGACGGCGATCGCGTCAATGAGCGCGAAAACACCGAACACACCACAGATGAAAGCATAATGGTAGACTCGTAGACAAGAAGATTGAGAAAAGCCACGAGGTCAACGATCCAACAAAACTGTTTCCTGAACAATCCAATAGGATCAACCCGAGCCGTCAAGACTTCAAGATACTTCAAGCAAAGAGTCCAAGTACAACGTGTCCACGGCAAAGAATGGGGCGTCTTCCGACATTCGAACCGAAACTGCGGCATAACTGACCAAAGTCATGTAAACGAACGTTATCACCCCCACCCACCCACCCACCCACCCACCCATACATGACCCCTTTCAGTTGAACCCAACACGAACCAAAGACATAAGAACTTTCATCGACTGATAGAGAAGAACACAATAGAAACGAAGGCTGTAAACAAGTGTCATGTTAGTGTTTCACGTCCCACCCCGACTAAGGCAAAAAAGACAAACTTAACTACCCCTTATGTCGACTTGACTACATTGACTAAACAAAATAATGTGCGTGTGAATTGTTTCTACGGTCCTCAGATCGCGATGATTGCACGGAGATGCACATCCCGGAGAACTGCAAAGGCACGGATCTTAGATCCGGTTATCAGGTGTGAGTTAAAGCATTTGGCAGATGATCCATGTCTCTGATCAACTGAAGCGTTGAACGTAGAACGAGCTGAAAAGCCCTCAAGCTTAGAGCATCGCCATAGCATCGCTTTCCTCAAGGTTGGGTCACCGGGAACAGAGGCAGTGAGCTTCGGCGAGTTGAACAGGCGTGCGCAGAACCATTCAGCACAAAAAGAAAAGACTTGAGTTACAGAGTTCATGAGAGAGGAAGGTCAATGTGTTCTTTGTCCTTTTCAGTGCCGGCAAGCAGAACAGGGAAGAACAACAGCCCGAATACCACCCACCTCCTCGCATTGTGCCTCTTTGCGCTTAGAACAAAAACTTTCACCCACTCATCAATGAGTCCGGAATGAAACAGAGCGCTCTCATGTGATCAGATAATAGTATGGTTCAAGGCGTTAGGCATTGGCCTCTACGCCTTACGGAAAACCTTCTTGCTAATTGCGAGCAAGACCCCACAAGCCCAGGCAACAGGGACATTTATGTTCATGGCGTTGGACAAGCATGGAGAGGAGCAGTTCATATTCTCAGATCGTTGCCTTCGATAAGTAGGAATGGAAGTGTTTGAGAAAACATCCATTTGCGCACCATTGCATAACACTGTCGGACTCCACCAAAGCCGAATTGGATGTGATGAGAATGCCAACTGAAGATGGAAGGGAAGGAAAATAGTCCAAGAGCATTTTGACCATGAGTGTTTTGTTTGCGTTGAGGAGCGGCTGCTCATTTTCAGTGCCAATGCTGGCTCCAAGACTGGAGATGGTGGCAGAATGCATGCAGAACGTATGGTCAACGAAATGGTGCAGGAGAGCATGCCCCCATGTTCCACTTAGGAGTTTGTGTCAACGATTTCAACAGTCTGATGGTTCAAAGAGACAAAGCTTCAGGCTGCAATGGCTTGGTGAACTCTTGACAGAAACCTTCATTGTGATTCTTGTGTGCTTTTGTTGAACATCCTTTTAGTCAGCGACATAATATTGATGTATTTCCCATCCGACAGGATTGGGGGGAGCTAGATTTTTGGATGAGTCTGGAGCAGACAACCCACCTTATCGTGACCTTTGCTTGAGGGCATCACCCAGTGCCTTACAAACAACAGACAACACCGCACAACACATCCTGCCACCAGTGGCATGGCTCAGGTATTCCACTAGTGGCCAGATGCCGGTGGCCCGGCGTGACAGCACGCACCAAACATTGACACTCTGAGAACACCAAGCACAAACAATGTAACAAACAAAGACACTTACACACAAAACTTGACACACCAGGACTAAAATTACAAAGACAGTAGTTAACATATAATGACATCATGACCAAGCGTCCTACCTTGACAGTCACCCCGACCCAATTGTCCTACCAGTGTGCCCAGTGGTGTGGGGATAGTTTGAAGTAGAGTAGAGTTATTGTCTTATTCGGAGAAACAACGGTAAAGAAGAAAGGTCTTAAGAAGAAAAGTAAGAGAAAAGATCATAAAAGATCCAAAGAAAAAGCACATGTCTAAAGGAAAATTTGAAAAGGGTGAACTGATATAGTCAAGGTCGAAAGAAGAGCAGAAAAACAGGATGAAAGTTCTAAAGAAAAGCACTACCGTAGGCTACTACTTTTTATCAAATGGAGCAAAGAACGATAATATATAGGACAAACAAAGGTAAAGCCAACACATGATTAAGGAACCTCCCTGTTTGTTTGGCCAATTTGTTTTCTCCAGTACTATCCGCCTTTCAAGAAACCTTCTGGCCAATTTTCCAACAATACTTGCGGACCGGACTTAGTTTTCAGCGCATCCCAAGACCCTTCAGTTCAACTTTGTGTTTGGGAGTTGTGGTGCGTAGCCATCCGAACAAAGCCAACTTCCCGGAAAATTAACTAAGATATGTACAACCAAACGAAGGCACAAGCAAGGCACAGTTGGTGGCATCACATCATCAAGCATTTCTTTGGCAATAAAGGCTGGCCCATTTTCCCAAACTGGGTACACAGAAATCCACCCAACTAGTTTGTCAGTTTTGTCTCCTGTTGTTTGATCCTTTTCTTCACAACCTCTACTTTCATGAATCCATCATCCTGTAACCATGCCTTTGGCAGTTCGGCTTCGCATGGCGAAAGATCCCCAGCATCACACACATTCCAAAACCACCCTTAGATGCTTTATAACAGAAAGACTATCCAAGATTAACGTGTTTCAAGCTCACACCCCACAAAGCCCTTATGCGTTGCACCCCTTATTAGTTTGGTCCATCCACAAATTAATTGGGAGCAGTTTAAACTATTTGGCTCGACCATTTGACCATCTAGGGAGTGCATTAATCATGTCGCGTCGCTGATTTTTTCAAGACACATTTGACACAACAATCGAAGTGCATGGAAGATGAAGAGAAAGAAAGAACACATGATTCAATAGGAATGAAAGGGAAAGTTCGAAAGAAAAAAGGATAAAGACATGGTCTTAAAGCAAGAAGAGAAAAGAAAAGACATTGTGTCTGAAACTTTCGGACAATCCGAACACTTTCGGCGCAAGGAGAAGCTCCGGGGTGACTCCCGCGGCCGCAGTGACTCGCGCTCTCGCTCACGTCGGCGCAACTCCCGGAAACGGCTCGGGGCACCTGGAGCCAAGTGTAGCGATCCAGGGGGCGTTCAAGGAGCAGAGAAAGTCGCCTTTTGGAGAAAACCAATGCAATCAATCATGCTGAGCCAGTAATACGCATATGTTGGAAGGTAAAAGAGCAAGGGGATTCGACGCCGAAACACAAATTCTATCGTTGAGTGAGATCATGCTAAGAGGCCATGGGCTTTGGCCCCAAGTTGAGGTCCAACTCTCGGCGGCGGCGATCACCTAGCCGGCGGCGTGACTCCCGATCTCGGTACCTGGGCCGAAAGAAAGAGCTGTTTTCCACCATCTGGAGGCCATTGCTCTTAGGTTGGAGGCCATTGCTCTTAGGTTGGAG